TCAATCCCAATACACACCACACAGCCCTGAAGTAAAGACCCATGCCACAGGTAACGCTCCCCTGGAGACCTAAGAGTGCAGCTCAGGGGCATCCTGGCTTGTAACTGGTCTGACCTTCGGTCCAGCTGGGCCGTCCAGCAATAAACGGGGCTGTGCAACAGCAGGTTAGATGAGAACAGTGGTGGGGAAGAAGGAAATCTTGTGGCATAAGGGCTTCTGCTCCAGCCAGCCCACCCTAGAGGGATTAAGGCATGGAGGTGAGCAAGCACAGGGGGAAAACAACCAACCAAACAAAATCACTAAATTGAATAGGGAGAAACAGGGTCAGAGAGTTAAAACCCAGGGAAAACCCTGGGCTTTGCACCTTGTGTGCCCACAGCCCAGGAGCCAGGCTGTGCTACCTGGCAGCACCCGCCTTGCCGAGCGGCTGTGCCGCGCAAACGCCGCCGGGCGGGTGCAGGACGTGCCCGCGCGGCGCCTCACGTGCCAGGGCTGGCCTTGGCTCCTGGTGTCGGGACAGAAGGAACAGCAACGAAGGCACTGTCCTAAGAGCTTCCCTGCATCGCCCTGACTGTTCAACTCTGCTCTCTCGACAACGCTGACCACTTTTTTTTTTCTTTCTTTTTTGAATCTAAACCCTTGCAGTGCTTTGCACGCCCTCAGCACCTCCCGTACAACAGGTCCACACGCCCCCTATTCCTCCGAGAGGAAAACGGGAAGCATGAAGAGGCCTGTCCTAAGCCGTACACTGCCTTCGCTCTAACTCAGTTACTCATGTTGGGGGTTTTGCTTTGTTATCTACCTTCACGGGAAGGAAAGAAAAATATTTAAAAGTAGTATGAACCTCTGAGGAGTTTCCTTACTTTATTGTCTTTTTTTCCTGTTCTGCCCCTCTGCTGAAACCAGCTTCAGGACACTTACCACAGGTACACGGTCACACAGAAGCCCTGGAAGTGGGCATAGGGAGGCATGAGCAGAAAGTTACACATTTCAGCCTGAAAATACACAAAACCAACTACACAAAAAGGGATTTCTCCAACTCCAGATCCACATCTGTCAGTCCACTTGGATCTTTGGAGACAGATCTCTTCCTGCCTTTTTTTTTTTTTTTGGGGGGGGGGGCTGGATAATAAAATCTTTCTAAGCCTAGCTGCCCCTCCAAAGGGACCCCAAAAATATAAAGGAAAAAGATCTCAAAGATCTCAGATTCTGCTTCCACGCCTTGCAGAAAAAAAATAAATTTACTCCTAAAATCAAAATATTTTGGTGAAGCATTCAGATAAAAGGAGAAAACAAAAACCACCTTAAAACCATTTTCACTCTTTTCTCATTTTTAACAGGAAGCCAAGAGAAGTCTAGACAAGGAACTTGCCTATAAATTCCAAGCTGGTGATCAACTCCTCCTTGCAGGGGGCTTACCGAAAGCTTTTTCCCCCACATCTTGCTCTGGTTCATGTTCTTGCTATGCAGCTTTGAGGGGCAGGTTGAGGAAGATGACAGTGCCCCCAGACCACTGCAAGAAGAGAATTATTTGTGCTTAGAGAGTCTCAGTGAAATGAAACATAAAAGTTAGCATTTCAGGTAACAAGCAAACACACGGGTGCCAGGCGGCTCTAGCTGTCCAGTAATAAAAATACCTTCATTTTCAAAGCAGGGAAAAAAAGCAGTGGCAAAAAGCAGACTTTTCTCCACATGTCTCCTGAGCGCTGCCAGCTCAGCACCTCCGTACGCTAAAAAGCAAAGCTAAAGCTGAAGTACAAGAGCTCCCTCACTCTGAGTAGGACAGAGGTTATTTCCTCGCCTACTCAAGCCCATGCCTTCCCTAGCAGATTATCCGTAGCTCCCAAGGAGCCTGAAGCACCTTTGCAATAGCCATGCCCTCCTCCAAGCTGTTTCTGAGCAGGGCGCTTTGAAGTAACACTATGATTCCTCCACAGAGCCTTCCGTAAAATCAGCACCACCACCAACCAACCTGAATCTCACCTCTGTGGGTCAAACGGCTACAGCCAAATCCTCTGCTGTCGCTACAACACCGCTAGTGTCGACGACATCAGGTAAGGAGGGAAAACTCTGATTTTTTTGCTCAGGCAGGACCCGAATATGCACCCCTCCTAACCCAAGCAAAACGGGGGGCATCAGACCGGGCTAGTCCCCACCGTGCTGCTTACTCAGCAGCAGCAACTTTGGAGTCTTTGCTAAAAGAGCAGCCCATTCCAGCTCCCCAAAAGCACAGGGCTGGACACAACCATGACCTAGATGTGGCAGCTGCACAGCAAGCCCCTAGCAGAAAAGCCAGATTGTGCTTTACCAGGTAACGTTTCGTGGAGGAGCTACGGGCACCCCAGCCTCCCCAGCAGACCTCTCCCAAGCTCACCTCTCCTGCACGCCCTCTAAATGGACTGCACAGCTTGCCAGCTGGACATCTTGTCGTTCGTTTGGAGGGGAAGTCTCATGCAAAGGAAGTTTTTCACCCCATGGAAACCCAACAGCTCTCCATAGCACAATTAGTAGCAGCTTCAAGAATTAATTCTCCATTCCCATGTTTTCTTCATGCAGATAAAGAGTCTAGTGGAAGCAGAAGCACAGCAGCTTCACCACCTCAAGGTACTTTGTCCTTTTACAGACTAACAATAAGTTCAGATAATTTCATGGCACTTAGCTTGCTTGGTTCACATGGTGCAGGTTATCTAAGCACTAGGCTTTATCTCGGGGTTGAGCCATCAGTAACACCCACAATCATGTCTGGTCTCCTTACAAACAGTGATAAAACACAAGACCAAATGCACTTAACATCCTCTACCGGGGATGAACTTGAACAGTTGAAAGACTGATCTATGTTTAGGAAAAGGGAGGCCTTTTAACATCCTTTTTAAAAAAAATAAATAAAAAATTTGCTTCTGACAGTTTGCTTAACCCAGCCTGTAAGCAAAAATTAGAGAATTCATCAAAGAGTTTTCTCAGAATAAGGGCAGAATCCAAGAGAGTGGGAAGACTGAAATCTTGACAACTGACCTGATTCCCCATTCAAGATTCAGCCTCAAAACTCTGCGACGGTCAAGCCAGAAACTGCTCTGCCTCTCCAAGTACCTCTCAGATCTTCTCTAACGCAAGCAAGGTTAAAATCCCGTGGTCAGCTCTGCCTGCACAGATGTCCAACCAGCATGCCTGTGCCCAGCTAAGCCAAGGGCCCTCTGCACCAGAGAGGATTGCTATTAATTATAACTCTGCTTTATACCTGAAAAGCTCCAGACACCTTTGACTGCAGAAATGTTGCTGATGCTTCCAAAAGCAAAGTCTCCTGTTGTGCAAGACACGAGGTTTCCCAGGGACGGGGCATCCATGCCAGGCTCCGCAAACCACAGCTTCTGCCCACTGCCCGTGGCTAGAAGAACAATTTCAGAATGAAACAAAGGGTTGGATGACTGGTGAAAAAAATTGTACAGCAGTAGTCCCTGCTTCTCAGGACTGTTCTGCTCCACGGGGTTTCTGAACCGGTTAGATTTGTTATTTCATACCTTTTCCCCTTTTCGTATCGTTTCCCCTTTTTCTTCTGACTTTTGGCAAAATTACGTCCTCAAGCAGTGATGTTTTCTGCAAGACAAGAACCCCAGGTTCAGCTGCACGCCCTGCAGCCCACTGCTGAGTGCCAGGAGCCGTTTCACACTTCTCCAGGCAGCACATCCTTTTGGACAACGCTGCTACTGGGAAGGTGGGGATGGGAAAGGAGGAAAGAAGATTCCGCTTGACATACAGATGATCTTCTGAAGCGCTGAAGTATCATTTTTAGTCTCCTAACAGGGCCTGGGGCTCGTCATTAAGGTCAGTGCAGATAATCTGGCTGTTCAGCAGAGATCCAGGAGGCAGCAAAGGGTTTTTTTTTTTTTCCTCCGTACAAGTAAAACACACAGGCTAGCTGTAAATTTGCTTGCACAGGCACTGGAAGCAGCTGTCACAAACCAAACTGCTTCATATAAGCCAGTTCATCCCACTGAGAACTGGAATCCTTGCTCGAACAAACATCTACACTGCCACAGCTAGACTACATATGGTGTACAAGTTAGCCCAACCCAAACTAGCTTAATTACTTCCAGATAACCCAGGACAGCAGGCCCACTAATTCCAACTCCAAGGACAAGCCGAACAGTCAACCTACACCCATATTCTGCAGCATTTCTTCCCCTAAGCAGATTTTTTTGTAAAGTCTCAAAGTTTATGAGCAATAGCAATCTATAACCTTCCCAGTTCACTCTTCCAGTATCCAGCCGCTGCATCTGCCCAAAACCTGCATCTGGGACTGCAGAACCTGAAGAGTTTATATTTGGGGTGTTTGAATTTTGGCTCCCTGAGTTTCTATCTGGACATGGAAAATAAATACAAAGTATGTTTGGTGGGAAGGTTTGAGCCCGAGTATGAATTCCATGTTTTCCCAGATATCACCGGCACTACTGTGAATCCGTTCTCCTCTCCAGCATGCCCTTTAATTCTTTTGGGTTATTAGATGACACTCAAGGACAAGACTCACATTCTGCATTTCTCTACGCAGGTCAAGAGCCCAAGAGAAGCCAGAATGCCACAACATCAGCAACTCAAGGTGCTTTCTCCTTTCTCACACGGAGCGGTGGTTATCGCTAGGCGCTTTACAGCCCTTTGCCCCGCCAACGGCGAGGCTGTCACATCGCTGCCTCCAAGGCAGCACGGTGAACAGTCAACAAGGACCTGAGCGATGCTGGCCACCCCGTCTGGCCCTTGAAAAGCCTGTAAAGCTCCAGAGAAGCAGCACTTTGGGGCAACCCGTTGAGCCTGGGAACAGTGGTTGCGAGTCACAGCAGGAAAGGTGCCGCTACGGCACAAGGTTGTAAACCAAGGGAGAGAGGAGAAGCCTTCCCTTCAGACACGCTGCCAGAGCAGCCCTTCACCTGCCTCGCTCAGCTCCACCACTAGGGCCCCAGCAGAAAACCCTGCAGGTGTTCCCAGTCCGCGGACAGAAGGGGCCACACCAAGCCAACCCAATTCCCACGTAGGTGTTGGTCACTTTGCTGTTAACATTGATGGGGCGGGCCAGGACCCAACGTCATTCTCTTCAGTAAAGTGCGAGTCACCTCCTCTAGCATTGCTCGGAATCCTCTTCCCAACCTTGGAAGAAAGACTTTCATATAAAGCTACCTTTGTTCCCCCTCTTGTAGGCACCTCAAAGCCAGTCACCCCGACACCGAAGCCCTCTGACTACTTGCCTGCTCCTACTCCGACAGATGACAAATCACCACTGACGGTGGCAGCTTTTGGTAAGGTTTTGTGCAACCTGGGGAGAAGCGGGGGGGTCTGTTTTGCCAGGCCACACTGGTTTGGACACCCAGCTTCAGAGATGCTTCCCTGGAGATGGTTCCACAGTTTTCCTCTTCCACATGCCCGATCCTGGAGTTTTCAAAGTGCAAGGGAAAACCCTTGAGAAAAAGACTTGTCACCAGCAGGCGATAAACCACCTAATAAACACTCCCAGGCATGCCCAGGGTACAAGGGACAGACAATTTGAAAGTCCATCATGGCCACACCTGACCTTGGGATCTTGCTCCCAGCACCAGTGCTTGCTCCAGCTCCATGGTAGGACAAGACCTGGGCACAAATCATCCCATGCTACGCCTTGGTTTCCCCGACAGGTTCTAAAATAAATACACGACCTGTCTGGAAGCTTAGGACTTATTTTTTTTCCCCCCCCTGCAAACCTGCTGGGACGGCATTCCCACCCTGCCTTACTGCCTTCCCCTGTACCGCTGCACCCTGCGAAGCACTCACGTCCTCCACACCCTTCAGACTGTGGAAGGATGGAGCCAGAGATGCCATACCTTAGCCTGGCGATAGATTTGAAGACAGGTATGGGATAGATTTAAGAGACCCACTCTGCCTTGGGTTTTAGTGTCCCCCTCCTCCATGAAGAGGAGAAAAAAAAAACCCGATTTGCTCATTTTTATCCAACTATAGGAGAAAGTGTTATTTCGAAAGCATCTTTAAAAGTGTTAATTTCGTAAGAATCGCTCGCTTATATCCTCCAAGGGAAGCCACGAGAAGTCCTGAAGCAGTCGTAACAGGACAAGATTCCTGTGCAAAGAACAGTTTGATTTATCGAGGCCTGATGTCAGAATCAAATCCGCATCTGGCCACCGGTTTATGAGACAGACAACGTTATTCACAGTCTCTCCCCGCTACACTGGGTATTTATCTGACTTCGTACACCTTTAAGATAAGATTAACCCACTGTAGTAGGGACATAGCGACTCCAATCAATCCCCAGCGCAATCAGCTAACCTCTGCCCTCCCAGCACTGCCTCACCCATTAAGCATTCAGCAGAAGCCCTTTGAGGCTAAAACACAAGAGGATAAAGCCATTCACCCTAGTGACTATTTACTTCTCTGCCTACCACGCTCATTTTCATGAAAATATTGATTTCCTACCCAAGTTTTGATGACAGTCAAAGTCTCTCCGCTACCCCAGAAGCCGAGGACAGGCACGTTGTTGTATCAATCACAGACAGTTCTTTCCTCCATCCCCAGGTGTCATCAGCTTCATAGTCATCCTGATAGTGGTGGTCATCATTCTGGTCAGCGTGGTCAGCCTGAGGTTCAAGTGCAACCGCTCAAAGGACTCAGAAGGTATGTGCCTGGGGCAATCTGTCTGTCCCTAATCGACAAGTCATCAGTTTCCATGTGCACTTGGCAGTTCCTAAAAGATGCTTTTGAAAAGCTTACACGGTGGGGAGGTTTTGAAGCCAGACTGGAACACAGATTCAGCCGTTAGGAACGCAGTGTGACCACCCCAGCCCTGACCCAACTGCACAAGGGAACAGCCCCAGGTTCGCTGCAGTTAAACGCGCAGATTTCCAGAGGTGGGCAGCTCTTCCAGCAAAAGTTAACGGAGTTTGCCACTCCTTTTCCCGGGGAATCCCATTTCCCACCAAGCAGTGCCCACTAGAGGGCAAGGCTGCTCTTCGGCAAGGCGGTAACTGCCAACAGGCTGCCGCTAGTGACTGACAGGCAGCAAAGCATTCGGTCCTGCCTGTACATCACGTTAGGTGAAGAATTTTCTCCGATCAACTCCCAAGTACCCCCCGTGGTGTCTCTAATCTCACTTGGATTTCACTTCTAATCCCGCACAACGTAATTCTGATTTATTTTATTGCTTGGCTGTGCTGTTTTCTCACCTGTACATCACTTAACTGCTCTTCTCCCTCCAGACAAACAGAAACCAGGAACCTCCATGGTATCAGAGAGGTGAGGCTGCTTACACTATTCACATCCTAGTAAAAGTGCCTATTTTATTCCAGAACTAATTTCAGCAAGAAAAAAAGTGTCTGCTTTGGTTATTTCAGATGCAAGGAAGCAGGTAAAAAAAAAACAAAACAAAATCAGCTTTGATAGTGCTTCATCAAAGGTAGAAGTTCAATATTTAGGGGCCTCCTTTCAAAGCTGCACTGGTATCTGTGAAGACTCATCACCTTCCAAAAGCAGATTGCTTGTCTGTCTTCACCTAGATACAGACTTGTGGTCTACACTTGGGTTTCTGGATCTCAAAGCTGCCTCAGCGAGATGAGATCAGGTCCCCAAAAATATCTTCCAAGATGCCTATTACTGTTACCTAGCAAGAGCAGGATAAGGGGGCCCCAAACCTTTCAAAGAGAAGCACCAAGCAGAGGATGGTCCGTCTGAACCCCATGGTCCATCACTGCTACCCATGAAGAGAGCCTGCAGGTGGGAAAGCAGCAGGAAACAAGAGCTGGAAGGGATCAAAATAAACCCTGCTTTGGCAAGAGGGAAGGGGCACGGGGAGCAAAGTCCCTAAGTATTTAGGTGCCAAATTTGCATCAATGACAACAGTTCCCAAACACCCTTAACGATCATGATCTAAGTGGTCTGAAGCCACTGAAGCAGGACTTAGCAGAGCAAACGACTGTGCCCCCGAGGCACCCTAATCCCCAAAGTCAGCCACTGGCACCAAATGCATACCCCAGCCCTCAGGGCAGGGAGAAAGGGCAATTCCACGTTCCTAAAACGCTTGTAACTCTCTTAAGAGAGACACTGGCAATACATGAGCAGCAGCATCAGACCTAAAAATATCCAGGGCTCCCTTTGTGTGACAAATAAAGGCAAAGAACAGGGGGACATGGAAATGTTTCCTTTTTGTTCCAGTTCTGGTAATGGCTGCAGGGCTGGGAGGTAATTCAGCCACTGAGAACCAGATCCAAACTGGTCCTTGATTCCGCCTGCAAGCGGTGACACAGGTGACAAGGGTGCTTTCTGTCAGGCCAACCAGCACCGCATCCAAACTGGTCCGAACGCCCTGCTTGTTCCCCCAGAGATCTCCGGCCCTGTGTTCAGACAAGGGATGGGGAATTTGGCACCAAGGATGGGCTTGAATCAGGACAGCAGCTCAAAGGGCAGCACAAGTCAACCCTGGCCCCGCGTCCCGGCCAGCCGCAGCCTTGCCAGTTTGCCTCCAGTTGTGGGCAAAGAAACCTCCCGCTCTCATTTTCCAGAGTAGTTAATACTGCCTTCTCTTCCTGACAGCTGCTCGGCAGGCACAAGCCAGAAGGAGAACAGCATCACTCTGATCTCCATGAAGAACATCAACATGAACAACAGCATGAGTTACCCGCTGTCGGAAAAGGTTTCCCTTTCAAGCCTTGCTTTTTAGACAGGTAGCTGGGGATTATTTCTCTTGCTGGATAAGAGCGTGCCTTTGAGGTACTTCTTTGCTCTCTTATTCCTTCAAAAAGGTAATAAAAAAAGGAGGTGCCATGAAACTCCTAAAGGTCCCAACTGGTTCCAGTGAGCCTGGTGAAAAGTTTGGGTGCCCATCTCAGGTTCACCCAAGCTGCCTGACCTCAAGGTGTCAGGTACACCTCACATATACAGGCGCCACCACCTAGGGCCAGCCAACAAAACTAGAGCGGTTTCTCATTAAATGAAGAGGTAAATAAGCCAGCCCAGTCCCAGCTTACCCACTCCTGCTCCACAGGTGCTGCTGAAGCACATTGCCATCAGTACTCAGATCCATTCCACACCAGTAATTCCCGTCATTTCCAGCCATTTTAAAGCCGGGACTGAGTTTGGGAGAACACATTGCACAATTTCTTTTGCCAGCCCAAACAGGCTGCTGATGCACCGTGGTTTGTTCTTTCCGCAGGTGCTATGAAGCCGAGGGCCCAGAGCTTGCAGCTGACACGTGGCAACCAGCGGTGACTTTCTAAGTTTGTTGGGTTGGTTTTTTTTCCCCTTTGGGGAAAGAGCAAGGGTCGACTTTATATATAAATTATTATGTCCTTTCTGATCACTACACTTACAGTAGCATCCCACATAGCTTCCCCATCTGGGGCCTACGGGCTTTCTCCAGTCACAGCCTGCCGTGCTCAATGGTTGATATCTAACTCTATTGTTGATACACCTTCAAACACTCAGATTATTCTAGCAGCAAGAAGCACCAAGGCACCACCTACTTCACTAATTGCTGCCTCAGATTACCGGCCTTTCTAGTCTGTGCAGCCAGTCCCAGGCTCGTCAACCAGTCCAGCCCCATACCGAGTCACACCCGTGCACTGGAAAAACACGATCGGAACCTGAAGGCCTCACGGGACTTCAACGGCCAGGTGCTCGGTCAAACCCCAGCGCGATTGCTCCAAGCCCCTTATCCTTGGTGCCCCCACTGTCCCCACAGCGATGGGGATGATCATACCCAGCTACCTCACAGGGCTGTTGTGAGGCTATGTTAATCAGCGTCTGTAAAGCATTTGGAGAGCCACGAATTAAAGGTGCTGCTGAAACGCAAATTGTCATCTGAAATACTTTATTATTCATAACTTGAGCTTCAGGCAGGCGGATGGCTATCTTCCCACAGGTCCAACACGCTCAAAGAAGACTCATCTTAAGCGTAAAGAACAAAGTCTCTGCATAGACAGGGTTTCATCCGAGTGTAAAAAGGAGTGGCCACAAGCAAAACGCTGAGCTACTTCAGCTCCCCACGTTTGGTAGCCTAAGTCTGCTGGGAGAGCTTCCCTCTTCTGTACCACTGCTTTCCCAGAGCTCCCTCACAGACCAGGAAAGCAGCAGCCCCTTCCACAGAGCAGCCAGCAGCACGCCCACCTCAGCGCAGCACCAAGAACCACCAGCGCACCCCCAAGGCACCACAAGAGCAGCCCTCCGTCGGGCTCCACAGCGCAACAGCCCACGTTTGGAGCCGGCTGGTTCACCCTCCCGAGCTGGGTCAGACCCAGCCGCCCGTCACTTTCACCACCTACAGCAGAATATATCCTTACAAGCCGAGCGACCGAGGACGATGGAGACATCAATTCCCAGCCTCCACGTGACCGCAAGGGAAACAAGGTGCTCTTGGGTATTTCTGGAGGCCTCAGCTGCCTCATTCAGCAGCATGACGCACCAAAGCACTAACTCTGCAACCGCCTTTGCCCCTGCCCACCTTCACCGGGACTCCTGCTCGCGAGCTCCACCAGCTCCACCGTCATCACAGACCTCCAGCGCACCTCGCCTACGCGGCAGCAGCGCGCCGAGATACTGCCTTCTCCTAACGTGAGCATCAGCATCCACCAACCCTGAGGGCAAAAAACCTGAAGGAAAAAAAGATCTATCCGAGCACTCAAAATCGGTATCGCTCCACACATTCCGCTGCGGAGTCTGATGAAAAGTATTAATTTAATTGTACGGGACGGTCAGAGATGTTTGCTGGAGTGCGCAGTGTGAGGGGTAGCCGTGCTTCGCAGCTGGCAACAAAGTGTTCAGTTAAATAAATGCAACAATTTCACAACTCCTGCTAAGATCCAACACATTTTCTACCTTTAACACACACACACCGGGCAGTTTGGGAAGGTATTTTTTTTTAATAAATGAAGCTTTTCTGGTAAAATTCTTGAAAAGTAAACCGACAACACTCTGCTCACGCAGCCTCACCGGACTGGCGAGTCTGCCGAAGCACGAGATCCCAGGTGATTCCCAGCTCCAGATCCAGACAGCTCCAGATCCCAGAGGCGCGTGGAGCCCCGTCGGCGCAGGTTCAGCCCCAGGAGGACAGCTGGTAAGCGCCTGTGACATCCACCACACCAGCAATGGCCAAGCTTCAACCACCCTCCCCTCCACACTGACCTCCGAAAGAGGGTCCCATGTTTAATTTTCCTTCCTTTGAGCTCCTGCTTCCCACAGACTCCCGGGGGGTCTTGACAGATAACCCGAACCCGCTCCACGCCAAAACTGACCCACATCCGAACGCAAAGTTCCCACTTTGTTCCAAAGAAAGGCTCAATAAAAAACGAACAGAAGCGACGTGACCCCTAACTGCCCCGGAAGGCGAGGTCCCCACGCGGCCGCGCCCCCACAAAGCCCACCGGTGGAAGAGAC